ATTATCGCTCATGTATTCGTAAACTTGTTTCTAACGTTTATTAGATATAAAGGTTAAGAAAACAGACAAGATTTTGTCATTTTATGAACACTTATCTAATAATTTTAGATGTAAAATAATGTGATTACCGTTCATGTCTTAGTAACATATTTGTAAACTATCTATCACTAGTACATTTTAATAGGAATATTTTAAAATAGTGAAAATCGTTATTTTGTCGTTAGGTGAATAAATTTATGATGACATTTATTAGTGAATATAATAAGATAGTTACAAAGATGAATGTGATTAAAGCTCATAGAGAAGTAAACAAAATTGAGAAAAATATCTTCCTTATGAATAAGATACTGACATTATAAAACAAGTTGAAGCCGTCATCATTGAAATCAGTAATCTGATTAAAAGGTCATATAGTAAGTGTTAAAAGAAATAAGAATATTATCCGTTTCATGAATACAAAAAACAAGAATTTCATATTCCAGTTTTATATTAATAGTACCTGAAACCAGAACTAAGCGTACGTATGAATTACGTCCAATCGTCAACTAAGCCTTCATTGTGATTCATAACTACTGATTATATCAACGTATTCATTTGCACACCCATATAACTATTAATTACTGGTACAATCACACTATACAGTTATAAGTCCATAATTTTAATATTTTATAAAGGCCAAAAATATGTCATGGCATTAATGAATTTGACAATGTAATGTGTTAACAATGGTGAACGTTTACATCTGTTATATATATATATATATATATATATATATATATATATATATATATACTTACAAATTGTAACATTTGCAAATTAGAAAGGTCATTCAATAAAGGTCTGGATTATTTGCAGTAAAGTGTTCAGTCACAATAAGTGGAAGAGCATTATAGGAAAATTTAAAATGCGAAAAATTTTGTGTCAATGAAATGCATAGTATCAGAATTGAATCTTGTCAATTGACATAATAATAATAATAATAAGGAAAATAAATAAGAATAACATTGTAAATGTTCATTGATACAGTTGACCTTATTCATATTTATACGTTTAAAGTCGATAGATATTTGTTGAGTCAGTCAGACGACGTAGGCTTGTTCATTTACACTTCATGAAACTGATATTTCAAATGCTTGTCAAAAATGGTTACATTCATAATGTCTAGATATAGTTCAAGTTTCATATTACGGCGGTGAACAATATTCACATTTGACTGATTAAACACACACAAGTTTTTATTATGACCGAAAAATTAATTTTATAATACAGAACTACAAATCATTTACAAGTGCAAACAATAAACCGTGTTTCAATGGACTTTGAAAATTAACCGCATTGAAATCTAACGTTTTCTAATTCTCATTAAGAATGAACATTTACAAAAAAAGTTCACTAAATATTAAGTGCCTATTTCGGTTAAATTTATTACTACATTCATATACTGTCAAAGTCAGTTCATTAAATGATGGTCTATGATTGCTTCACCTGAATCATAAATATTGCAACTAGTAAGTTATTATGATGATTTATTACTATGTTGATTTGTTTCTCGAACTAACAGACCATGTGTTACCCAAAAACCTATGCATACACTTTAGTGATAATTTGTTTATTAATTTGGTATTAAAGATTTGACTACCGACCTTACTCAGTAATCACTATTATCAAATATTCAAACCGGTTTTCAGTTGCTTTTTTCCAAAAACTTTCTTTTTATGTGATATATATAAGTATTCGTGACATTAAAATTGTTGATCGGAAATCAAAAATTTATCCCAATATGCATTCAGTAACAGTAGGATTGCACTTAAGTTGGTGTTTTTTTCTTAAAATGTCTAAATTTCTTACAAGACTAAGATTACACAAAAAGATTTATTCATTATCGTTAAATTTCAAATTCAAAATCAAAATTCTGACATCCAATCACAGCTTCAGATGCGATTTCAATTTCAACTAATCACATTGCAAAGATGGGTTGACATTAATTACACGGCCATTGTGATTCCGTATGTTTTAGTTATATTGGTAATCTACTTATCCATGAATCTTTTAGCACTACTCTCAATCCGAAAGGGGAATCGGGAAAAATGGAGTAGTGATCCATTTGATTCATCTTCGCAGCATAAGGCACAGGACATTTAGGTCGATAAACGGGAGAAGCTCCAGGTCTGAGGATTGATAATGCTTTAGCTATTGCACACTTTTCCAAACCTTTTGTAAACATGTGGTGGTGTCTCTGGGATTCTTGGGGAGAATGAAGTTGATGTAGCGTTCAAGTTCAGCTGTGCCAACTTTGTGTAGTAGTATCCTAACATTTGTAGTATCATCAAGCGTTTCTAGTTGAACCGTGAATACATCTTTATATTTCTTCAACCAGGATTCGAACGTAACACCAGCAAAATCATCAAATGGAATTCGTGGATAGAACAAATGATATGGTCGACACGGGATTTGAATTAACCATCGGTAAGGCTCATTCGATTTAAGTTTATTTGCTGGATTAGAGTTTATAACATACGAATTGGAACAGCTCGTAAAGTATTTCTTGACGCTCCAGTAAAACTATTTGATCAAAAGTAAATGATATTTTGGTAAGCTGACGCCGTAGTCAGTTGTTATATCCAGAGCTGAGATTCGTGATATACCGCGTACAAATTGAGCACTAGAACGCTAGAACCCTCCGAGTCGCAAGTGAAAAGACAGAAGACGAGTGAGAAGAAATGTTATTCAAAACAGTACTAAATATGGTACAAAACTCTCAGGTATTTAGAGTTCCTAGTAAAAACGAAATCATCATTATAGTCATCTAATCCGTGTACAGTGGTTTTTAGCTACGCGACCAAATTCTGCAATATGCTTTCAGATGATTGAACGGGATATCTTTAGTTCGCTCTGAGCTTCTCATTGCTTCTTGAATTAACCCTGGGGCCAGCCTCACAATGTTATATATATATATATATATATATATATATATATATATATATATACAACGTGGGTTTTTTTTCCATCTAGTTCGGAGATGCTATTTCTCTCCGATCAAACTTTGTAGGGGGCCACGGATACCCAAATATGTGGAAATTTTATTCGTTCGTCTTTTACGTAAAAGTAACAATTCTCGCCTTTTATTTTCAGTGTTTTTAAGTGAAATATATAGTTCAGTACAGATCCTCTAATGAATTCTACAAAATATACGTTTTGTTAACAACTTTGAATATTATCAGAATGGGGTTTTGGGGATATTATAGTAATTTTTAATAGTTGAATTCATGAATTGATTGGTCACCCGCAAGACCGAATGTCCTGGGTCTGAGTCCCGCGTGCGGGATCGTGGATGAGCATTGCTGAGGAGTCCCATACTAGAACGAAACGGCCGTCCAGTGTTTCCATAGTGGTCTAGCTTTAATCAACTCATGGATTCAACTTTGAATATACAATTAGTGGTAAACAAAATGGTGCGATGGCATTCTTTAAAGTAAATCTTAAAACTGAACAATTGAAACTTTGATTTGATTAACAATTTACATTTGCATCATTCAAAAACAGTTGCCTACTAAAATTATGCAACCATGGAGATGAAAGATTAATGTTTTTAATCTAGAAATAATTTATGCACCAACTAACACGTATATTCAATATGACGTACATTTTGAACCTTGAAGAAGTGCACACTAATGCTGTTCATCTTCTTTTGTCTGTACTATGCAATTAGAATAAATTATTCTAATCTATTTGATTTGACTAGTTTACAAATACAATTAGAGATTGTTTGTTTCATTAGAGAAGAGTCGAGTGTGTGGTTCGGTAAATCAGTTATTTTTATTGATTATGACATTTCTAATCATACAACTGGTTATATACAATGCGTTATTGACGAATCAGTGGCGGGTTCATTTAAATTACCGTTTATTTGAAATTCAATTATTATTCCATGAAAAATAAATTTGTACACAAATGCAAGTGTATTAAGATATAGGTGTGAATCTAATTTTTCTTTATGGTACCTAAGACGATTAAGCACCTACGTGATACAGAATGAATACGAAGTTAGAAGTTAATATTTCAGGTTGCTGGCCGATGAGGTTGAAGTGGTTCTGCTACAGATTTCGATCCGTACTGCTACTTGGTTGGATTAATCTTATTGAAAAACTTATTCTAACATTGAGGCAACCAGTACGAGTTATTCAGTTATCTTCCCGTTGTGATTTTACTTCGGTTAGAAATGTACATAAGGATTTGAACTATTAGCTAAATAGTAATTATTACCAGTCACAGGTTATGTGTAGTCGTCTGATATTTATGAGGCTTAGTGAAGTAAAATATTCTGGGAAAAGTAATCGTACATAATGTCTATATCGTGTTTTCACTACAAATTCATTTCTACCCTCAGTCATTTCACTACATTAGAATAGCCACTGAATCATTGTGAATTAATATTGTGTTTTCATCCAACTGGTTACAAATTACCACATGTATTGTTACATCAAATATAATTATGAATGTTCCAAAGGTCCGTTTTAATGTTTACATTGAATGAACCTCCTTCTTTCCGTTGAAAAAACGTTGTTCTAACTTGAAATATACCTTTCGTCTTCGTTTCAACCATTTACAGTCATACATGAGAAATTGAGTGGTAATGCAAATCGAAACTAAGTCTGTTGAATAACTGAGGTGGTCGATGCGTTCAACTACTTTACTCGATATCATGAATTTAGACGTTAATGCAATCCAATTCTGAAGCAACATCTAGCATTTGGAGGGAAAGAACCGCATTCGAAGCATGTTCGCATTGTTTCTACTGTGCTGTGAAAATCATTCTCCAACAAATTTCACCTTATAACGGTATATTGAATCAACTAGTATGTTCAACGAGATTATTAGCGTTTAAATTGACTATAAACAGTACTACACCGAATGAAGTGTGTTTAAGTCAGCAATAGGGAACTAAGGCAATTTTATTTGTTTTGTTAACGTAGCTAATGCTTAGCAAATATTGATAATAATCACAATATGAACCTACTCGAGATTGAAGTAAACGTAGTTAGTGGCTTTGACCATTCACTATATACTGTTTCAGATAATTTTACTACTAATCTCATTTGAATTGTATAAATTGTGCAAGCAGTTAAATTCTCAATTTTTTGTCTAAATAATTCACTCGAAATATTTTTTATTAATAACAATGATTGTCTTTGACTATTAAGCAAGATTTCATAAGTAGAAGTTTTGAATTGACTTCCATTAGTTTTCACAACTGACCAAATGATCACGAACGAAGTGGATTTAATATTAGAGATCTGAATAAGTTTTGGTGTATGAATACTTGTGTTTAAAAGATGAACTAAAAAACAAAATTTGATTAAAAATTAAAGAATATGTAAGACAGACGAAGAAAACCAATTATAAATAATCACAGGATAGAAATATAGAGTCCGCATTTGTTTGATTTCCTATAAACGAAACAAATCACGTTAACTGATATTTATTTAAAGCATATGCTGACTACAACCGAACCCACAAGTGCACACAGAAATTAAATAACTCATTCACATAAGTATCATACTTTTCACAACTATTCACACACATAGGAATACGTACAACGTTATATCTCACACAATCATCATTAAGCTAAATGATATAAGATTAATATGATACAGCCGTTGCTGTGTACTAAATAACCGATTTGATTTTTTCAGTGTTAATTTATAAGTTGCAAAGAATCGCAAGTACAATTTTCTACTCAATAGGATATTTCACATTCACTATAAATACATTACTGTTTATTTTCAAAATCAGACCAAATTAGTATCACTTCGTTCAAGTGGACACTGTTGTGCTTTTTAACTTGTAACTTTTATATATTACCACGAGAGTCCAGTTTACTTCAAAAGTAATAACTTTTATTATTTCTTAACAATAGAACTAGGGTAATCTACAACTCAATACAGTTCAGACGAATGTTTCAAATTTATAGTTTTAATAACTGTAAAACTATTAGTGTTATGTTTCAAAGTAGCTAGAAATGGAATTCATAAGATGTATCTTGATTAATTTAACATTCATCAGCATAGAAATACTGATGAGTTCAAATAGTGATATTAGTAACGGAGAAATGTAAACCATTCAATAAATAATTCTTAATATAATGTGTGTAAGTGGCATAAAATGGATTTACCAACCATTAGACCAAAATCCAAGCTTATTCATATTAACACGCGTATGCTAAAAAATGGTCTGGTTCTCAAGCACAAGCGAGAGAGATTATCCATATTTTAAATTAGAACCAACATAAGCGATTTAGTTGCAATCTACCCTTAAACAATGTGAATTTATCCAAAAAAACAGATCTTGAGTTATCTTAAATTTTAAGTTGGTGTGGCTAGTGGGGAAATTTTACATGCATATACATCTGTATTAAACTTTCAGTTAGCTTGAGAAATATATACGATCAATTAACTAAGTCGGGTACGAATGTCGACAAAGACGTAATATGAAATGGTGACTGGTGGACTCTGTGATTTATTTATAAGGGAGTGATGCATCGATGACGCCGAACAGCGACCAAGCTATTTTACAAGTTAAAGTCGAAGCATATAAACCATTAAATTCCCGTTAAGAGATCTAATAAATTTAAAAGATTGATAGTTCTCAACTTTTGAAGAATTTCAGACGAGGGTAAGAAATACAACATTATGTTGCTCCCTAACCTTTATTAATCCTTTAGTTGAGATGACAAACCGATCAATGTTAGACCACCATTGAACGGCTGTTTCGTCTTAGTATGGGACTCCTCAGCAGTGCGCATCCACGATCCCGTACGCAGAATTCTAACCCAGAACCTACAGTCCCAGGCGCGAACGCCTAACCTATAAATCACTGAGCTGTCATCCAGTGGTCTTAATGTATAAGTTCAATCGATCCATAATCTTGTGCAAACTTTTATCCATTGTCTGAGGTGGATAACCGTCTCCACCCGACATGGGTTGGACTCCAGTGGTCATGGCTTTGCACTAGAACTCTAAGAAATCCATTTTCAAGCTAATCGCTAGTGAGCACATGATAATTATTAGTGTGGAGTTGCGGAGATTGTTGAGTTTTAATTGAGATCATGAACCGATCAATGTTAGACCACCATTGAAAACCTGGATCGATTCATGATCTCAATTAAAAACTAACAATCTCTACCGCCCCATATTGATAATTAGCTTTGATTATAGTCGTATTTAACTTCAGCAACATCATAAAAATTATATAATATCATCACCAAAATTAATAATTGTATTGATGAACATTTAAATTAATTTTCGTTTGAATCACCCTACATTAATAAGATACAAATCATATCATATGATAGACAGATACTTCACTTTCGGACAGAGCTAACACTGAAATAACCCAATTTGCTACTTATTGTTTCTGATAAATACAATCAGGTTAATATTAAAATGATTTGGAAAAATGGTACGTTTAATTAAATTTTAAGTGTACAGTTTAGTAAAATAGTGAAATAATTTGAAAGGCTAAAAATTAAATGGATCCGAAAGTAATCCAAAATACCTTATTAACTTATTATCAAAAAACTAAGGGCAGATTTAATGAAATTCCTTGTGAATAAATTCAGTTTCATATGCTGTATATTTATATTTCATCCAAATTGTAGACCTTCTATCAATAGTTGAAATTAATGTGAAAAAATAAAAAATGTACTTCATTACACAATTCAAGACGTTATTATGCAAAACAGAAAAGAATGTAGAATAGGGAAGTTAATGAAAGAAAATGTAATGAAGATTAAATAACGCAAACATTTTATCAGAGAGATCAATGCGTGATTCTATACTGTTGAAGATGTTAGATCCCCAGAACTCACTTGGTATATGCCTTAATTTTATAATTTTAGAAATTTACGTTTCCTTGTTTTCGCGCCAAAAGCACACTTTTCACATTCATAACGTATTTCCCACTTATAAGAATCTTTAACGCTATTGGTCCGTTGTGTATTTTTAGTATGCTATTTTTGCTACGCTTCCCAAGGACAGTTTTCACTCGTGCTTCTGGCTTACGGAATATACTTTCCCGTTCCAAGCTTGGATTTCTTCCTCTAGTTGGTGGAGCTGGGACGCATCAAACAGCTAGCTTATCGGTCTACGGTCACAAGTCTTTGTTCCGTTCGTATACTAAGTGAACTCGTAATAGCTTCAAACCTAGCAAATACTAAGACTGCCACGTCAACAGAAAATCTGTACATACTTTTTGTAAACAGATTGTTGAAAACTTGTAATCTCAAGCAATATTGATGAATCTGTTCAAATAATGTGTTATGAATGGTCAAATACAGTGCTGAAAAGCAACATCGGGAAAAATTATCTATACTAATACTAACATTGTTGAAAAATTAAACCAGTACGTAGACATTAAATTTGGATAGTTTTGAATGACCCACTGGAATTTTATAGCTTATTTCAGGAAAAAGAATAAAACAGAAATGAATAGAGTTGTTATATCTGTTGTAAATCTAAACGGTAAAGTAAATGATTGAATTAGACCTACTTTCAAGATGATTGGTGAATAGTTTTTGCTGTTATTGAGAACTGATTTATTAGGTCTAATGTTTCATCACAACCTATTTAATGAATATAATTTGTAAAGGTTTGTATTATTATTGCATTGTTAATGTTCTTGACTGAATTTTGATCAGTCTTAGATGGCACGTGTACATCTTGTGCAGATTTCCTTTGTATAAATTAGTTTTTATTTTTCCATAGAAAAAATGTTTAATTTAGGAACTAAGGCATCACAACTTTGCTTAAAGTTAGTTTTTCAAACTGTTATATCTAGAGCTTAGATTCGTGATATACCGCGTACAAATTGAGCACTAGAACGCTAGAACCCTCCGAGTCGCAAGTGAAAAGACAGAAGACGAGTGAGAAGAAATGTTATTCAAAACAGTACTAAATATGGTACAAAACTCTCAGGTATTTAGAGTTCTTAGTAAAAACGAAGTCATCATTATAGTCATCTAATTCGCGTGCAGTGGTTTTAAGCATTTGTCCAATAGAGTAGCTGAGCGTCGAGATTCTGGAATGTTCCTTCAAAAGATTATTAGACTTTTGACTCTTTCCGAGCTTCTTAGAGCTTCCTCGAGTTCACCTGTAAGCCATCCTTACACAAATACAGTTCGCCAATAAAATATCTGACATAATACAGAATTTAAGTATAGCTTAACAGAAAAAGTATCTTGTCCATTTTCTCCTTCGTTCTTGGAAAACTAGACAAGTCATTCTAGACAAAACTAATAATTAGTAGCTTGAAATTCGGTGACAACAGTGCCTACCTATCTATGTTTATTAATTGAAACACGAGTAACAAGAAAACTATGGAGGATGCCCCTGAACAAGAACTTTGAATTCAGAGATAACCCTGCAGTAAATAGTTATTGATATCTAGAACTTAGTCAGTGCGTAAATACTTTTTGAAAATGAGCTCATGCATAAAACCCAGTGCCGACAGGAAATTAGGGACGACTAGTAATTCAGAAACTTCATATTCTATATCTTGTATAGAAATTCAAATCAGTCGTAACACGGTATTCCATGAATCCTTCAACTTTTGAGTATTCATTTCAATCAAATAAGACTAATTAGTATCTGTACATTGGTTTTCTACAGTCATAAATAGAACTGCGTTAGCGGTAACTTTCCTGGTTAATGTTCAACAGGATCATTTAAAATCACTTTAAAGAATATGAATAAATATGGTTAGTTAATGGCTTTAGAGAAATATGGAATTTAAGTCATGTTTTCAACTGCCTGACAAAGTGGGAGGTAGGAAATAAACTAAAACAAAAAGCATTAAGTACCCAATCAAAAATTTACAGTCTCATAGTGAAATATTATTTACAGAATATTTTTTCCTTTCTAGTTAGCGTTACAAATGAATATATCAAATGTAATACACTTACTCAAAGGTAAAGTTTTTGTAGTTATTGAAATATGCTGCCCTAAATAATTATCAAATGGTGAAATCACTTTCAGATGATACGTATATTGAGTTGATGGTGCCAAATTATAGAATGTATATTCTGTAAATACATTACAATCGTAAATAAATAATTACGTTTCATAGTGTTAAATTCTTACACTGTTGAATTAAATAAAGTTCACGATAATAGCTATTAGCCCCAATATAAACAAATTGTAGATAAAAAAAACATTGAAATATTTAATCAAAAAGCCCTTATACCAACAGAAATTAATAAAAAGCAACAGAATGTAAAACTCGTTAGATTCTTGTATACAGAGCATGCATATTTTTTTCAATAAAGCATTAGAACATTGCTCTTAAACAGGTTTGATAGTAGACGTGCAATATTAGATTTTGATGGATTCTAGAAACGAAATAATTCAACGTAGAGATTTTTACAAGTAATTTATTATTTAACTCTAATAATAGCAGCGTTTGAATCGACTCCACTAATTAACTACTTGATTTACCGTAAAAATAACGAAAACTTGCCTTCTGATAAGGAATCCCAGATGGAACGACAATATTCTAGATAATACAATGAGCACACTAGATAATTAGACTGCTAAACTAGATAACGTGATACACAGTTACACAATATCAAACCAAACGATTGAGAACCACATTTTGTTCACATAAATTACAGAGGAGTCACACAGTGTGGAATCCAAACAAAATTACAGTGAAACTAATATTATAAAATATTTCACAATTTAGCACAGGAGGATGTCTATCTTCGCCCAGTAGTTAGTGACGGGTCATTCGAAAAATTATTCACTTATAGACGTCTTTCACATTTATTAAAATATTCGTAGCTACAAGAGATCACGTATTACTAGTAATAAGCAAGACGTGCTTTTAGTATTTGTTTAAACTTAATTGCTAACCAAATTAACTACTAATAGAAACTTAAATCACGATCTAACTGACAAATTACAATCAAAACATATCAGTATGGGGATTTGTGGAGATTATAGTATTTTAACAGTTGAATTCACGAATCAGCCTAAACTAGACCACTACTTAAAGCCTGGAAGCATTGGATGGTGCGTTGGCTTCCGGCTCAGTGGTCTAGAGGTTAGGCATTCGCGCACGAGACCGAAGGTCCTAGGTTTGAATAACACGTGCGGGACCGTGGATACGCACTGCTAAGGAGTCCCACACTAGGACGAAACGGCCATCCAGTGCCTCCACGTTTTCAATGATGGTCTGGCTTAAATTGATTCATGAACACAACTGTTAAAATTTATACATAGTTCATATATTGCAAACTGAATTCTGCTGGAATTAAAAATGTAGCTTATTGAAACAACGCACTTCTCTCTTCCTAACACCAATGGGACAATAATTTACCTTAAACGAATATCTACACTAGATACCCTCCCAGTGTCTATTCTACAGGACATCAACATGACTCGGACCAAGCATATTTGATTGGTCCGACTAGAATGTGAGTATATTTCCACATCAACAACCGATTAAAATAACAATAATAATAAGGGTAGGAAAATGTCAGACTATCTATTAGTCTGACTAGGTAAACAACCAATCACCTGTTGAACTCCAACTAGAAACCCATGAGTTGTCAGCTTAATACATCAAGGATTCATAGGTGGGCACGACCGAGTATTCTCCCACTACGGAAAAACACTTACCGCTGATCCCAGGTTCTCAGAGGTTGTTTAAATAAACTCTTATGATAAACTGTTTAAACAGTCTCCACAAATCTCTCCTAATAGTATAGTAAAACTTATTAATGTTTATAGAAACTATGGAAATGACTACCTGTTTCATTTATTGCCACACTGGTAATTAACTCAATGAAGGTTTTTTCATTCATTTGTAATAATTGAATAAGTGCCATACATTCATTAGGCACAGTAAATTTACTCCACTTCACTTTTTGAATAGTTGGAGACATATTTTCTACTTCAAAATGACTTTGAACGACATGTTCTAAGTTGATTAAATAAATATAAGTAAACAAATAGAAATGATTTGGATTGGAGCAACATCAGTTGAAATATAATAAAACATAATTAAGAGAGAAGCATAGAACCGCATTAAGGTACAATAATATTTCGGTTTATTATTTAGTATTTACGCTATGCTACGTTAGTTGAGAATGCATTATACATTGATCGTGTTTATCTAGATATTATATAATCACTTGGAATACTTAAGATAAACATTTAAGAAAATTAATTATAGAAATAAACCAGTCTATGTATGGTTAATACTACTTAGTTAAATTTAGATTTTACGACCTAAAAACATACCAAATGGAAAACGGTCACCGAACAAATGATTTAAGGCTCTTGGTACAAAGTTATAGCGAGAAGCCATTACCCATTGGGTCAACCATACTGAGAGTTTTTGAGTTATATCTCAAAGGTGTGAATTACAATATATCACGAACGAACTGAAGTTGAAATCTGGATTTGAATGAAAAAGTTTCTATAAATTTCCTTTCTTACTAACAGAAATTTACTAATCTTATGATACAGAATGCCCATTGGACTGTGGTTAACATATGAATACATACTAGTAGTAAGCTTATTAACGGGAGTTCTTCTGCATGATTATACTGTCGATAGATACTCATTACTCAAAAATCACTTACACTGTCGAATTTCTGAACACAGTTAATCCCAAGTTTAAGATATTCTATACTTCAGAATGTTTGGTTTTTTCCATAAATCATGATGCATGTTATTTACGAAGAAAGATACTACCGGGTTTACTGGAATTTAGAAGATAAACTCTGTGAAATATCCCCGTTGAATTTCAGTTTATGGCATTTCCCGTTGACTGTTTGGAAAGTGAAGCTAGCATGATACTACAATACACGATATAGTATTCACGTATTTGGCGGGAAATGTAAATTTGATGTATTTTCTGTATTGTTTGTCTGAAGTCGACAATCATCGTAACCAGTTAGTTTGCTATTCATAATAAGTAATCGGTTCTGAAAAACGGTAACCGGTAGTTTAGATATATCTGATATTAGACTTGTACACTATTATATAAACAAGATACTCTAAACACCAACATTAAGGACAGTCACAAATACGAGTAAAAATAATTAGAGGATGGATATTTTTTACTCACAGTTCAGTACGAGTAACTAATTCTCACAATTTTATAACCTGTTTAGCCTTTTTCTTTTTACAAATAACATTTATTACAGTTAACTTGATTCGTTTATCGTAGTTTCCTCTAAATTTTGTAATTGTAATGTAAATTTAAGTTGTTTCTTAAACGACAATATTAAATTACTTTTATCTTTGTATACTTAGTGTAAGGCTAGATGAATTTGATGTTAAATAATCGCTGCTCTATTATATAAAGTTGGATTAAATTTGGAACTATGAACCATAAAATCCCTATTTAGTAAACAAAAAACACTGCATTGAAACCTAGTAATGAGGGTTGTAACTACTACTTTAAATGAAAAGGTGAGTACTCACTCACTCGTAAACATGAATATGAAACAACTATCCGTTGCGCATGGACTTTTCATGATCCCCTGTACTGATATTATAATCTGTGGTGATACTCATCATCGGAAAAGTGTCGATGGATCTAAGCACTGGACAAATTTAGTATCTTTGTAAGAAGAATGATTTCATAAATTGAGTGTTAAATGTTAGATACATCCTAATGATTTTCGACTTTAATTTGCATCACTATTCCGAATAAATAGATAAAGAATATTAAATTTATCCATGGTTTTCGAATCACGAAGTGATCTGGGCTAGACCGTAATTAAAATCCGGGATACACTGGACATCTGTTTTGTTGTAGTATAAACTCATCAGCAATGAGCATCCACGATGCCGCCAAAAGGAATCAAACCCAGAGCATAAACTTTTGCGAGTAAACGTTGATCACTGAGCCGTAATCCAGCGGTTTTAATGTCTAACTTGAATCAACTAACAGTTCAGGTTACTTTGTGATTTAAAAACTGAAAATTTTATAATCTCCACAAAACCACATACTAATACATTTGATTAATTTAAGCTTAGAAATTCAGTAGACATTTCATATAACGAATAGTAGGACAGTTCATAATATTTTCATGCACTAAATTAACATATTCATAACTATTCGGCATTTAACTATGCGGGTCATTCACCAGAATAATTTCAGACAAGCAAATGTATCATTGTGGAGCAATACACAAAGACGAGGTAAACCTCTTCAGTAACTTGTGGTCTTTTAGCTGAACTGTATTTGACACTTTGATCAGTGTTATTATATGTTACAATTAATGTACAGTAGTTAAAACTACTGCAGTAAGTTATAAGATAGGAATGTATAGTCAATGGTCATATCGAGGATTAGCATAAGTTAAGAACCTGAACCGTTGGGTTTCAACCCAGTGATCTTAAAATATGGTACTGACCGCTTGAATTGTAAGTTCAAAGTCTGAAATAGTAAGTGTCCACTTCTAATGTGTTTTAAACCAGGGCAAATAAACTGTTCAGTGCTTCCTGACTTTTAATGGTTCACCAGCTAGTTTAAGCTTATCCTGAAATTTGACACCAAATAATTGTAATCTGGTAAACATCTCAGTCGTATCTCAAAGACGTAACTCTCATTTCCGCGCAATATGAAAATTTTAGATAACTGTTGACTTAATGACATACGTGGTAATAATGTAGCTGTAAATACTGGATTTGACCAATCACTTGATTTCATCCATAACATATCATGTGTTTTGATTTATATAATATAAAACCAACATGATGTTAAATTTATAATCCTTTTTGTCAATTGAAAACAATTTGAGACATTTTTAATGATTATTGGTAATCTTTGTGGACTATTTATCAATATTTCGTAGACAACTTTATTCAGCCGATTATGAAGACGTGGTTAATTCCAATTAATATCGAAGGAATCAGATGTGACATTGGTGATTGTGACATTTTCCGGAGGTAACAATTTTGAATGATGACAGAATTCTATGAAAATATGGGATTCAGAAAATTAAGTTTTTAAGAAATCTAAATTTCTGGAGATGAAAGTCAATATCACTTTAAACAAAATCTAATTAAAGTAAAACATTTCTTTAAAATCACGATTCAGTGTAGTCAAATTCTTTGTATTGAATTCCATGTTACTTCATTCAAAATATTCGGGAAGATAACACTTTGACAAAGTAACCAAAAAACTAGGGTCTTCTACGTCATAATAAACGAACTTCAGATAACGCTCTGTTCTCGCATTTAAGCTAGTGAAGACAAAAATATCCGGTTTAGCTAATCAGTAGTAAACAAATTAGGATCTAGGACGTATGTGCGTCGATATGGGTTATATTGACTCATATTAACAAAGACAGAAGTCAACAACAAAAACAGAGAATAAAGTGATATACAATAAAAAGCAAAATATGAGAAATATAACTTAAAATTAGTAAGCGATATCGAAATAAAGGTATGAAATAACATTAAAATCAAGATTTTGAAGACAGAAAAAGTGCATTCAGCTGCTCCAAAGAAATCATTAATCGACAGTATTAAATGACATCTGAGAACCAAGAATACGAGTGAACTGAGGAACATAAACTGGAATAATGCACACACTCAGCACAAACCAACAGAAACTGATAAAATGTAAGGCCTAAAACATTCTACCAAACGACTCTTACGAAAGCTACAATAATACATGGAAGTGTAAATCAATCAAAGATGGGCGACACTAAAAATTGATATCACAGAAATATACATCTTACCACTGAATCGATCTGTTTTGTCACTTTAGTCATTTGTCAACTGATAATAACAAGTAAATTACTATTATCATTAATGTCACTATGATACCTGCATGAAAAAACCTCAACCTTCTTTGAATGTCAGTTTCTACACGGCTCAATCAACCTATCATTGAATGTCCTGTCAAATATTCGCTCCACATTGCAATTATACACTGCACAACATAAAATAACATATGTCTGGATTGGAAATTGTGGACAATCCTTAACTTACTCGACTGATTAAACCCATCAGTAGTAGTGGTAAAATTTGTGGTGGCAGTGGCAGTAATAGAAAAATTAGTAGAAGCATCAGGAGCAGTATTGGTCACACCATAAGTAAAACTCTGATTAAATGTTGAACCAACGGGATCGCTTGCACTCAGTGCCACATTAAAGGAAGATTCTGATAGGAGAAACAAAATAAGGTAGAATGATGAAATATTTAATAAATGTAGGTGATAAATAGAAAGATCAGATTTCCTCGTCTTTTACACGTTTTTTATTGGTGTTTGTGTAGGTGCAATCAAATGTTTTTCGTACACACATTTATCAAGTTCCGAAAAGGGTCAGTGTATCTAAATATATCGTTTGATTGAAGACTAGCTTTAATTTCATACAATATTCATTATGAAAAACCTAATCAACATGCTTGTGAATATTTTTTAATGGTTTTGAATCGTATATCCGTTTTCTGAAATATTTTTAGGAGACAGCGTAAAAACATATAAGCAAATAACTAATATACTAGGCATAGAAAAATATGTAAAACAGTATAATCAACTAACAGTTCATAAGTAATACAGAGGCTTTCATATTATTTACTGATTTTAATACACCTATAAACAATTCAAATATGACTGTATATCACTCTCTATATTATATATAGATATCATAATAAAGATCAAATAAGGCAATAATAATAATAATAATAATAATAATAATAATAATAATAATAATAATAATAATAATAATAATAATAATAATGTTTTCTTGTAGCAAACTCCATTTTATAATACATGATCGCATCAAACGCTGAATTAGTATTTATTTATTTGAACACAAATATTGTTACAGGGGAGCACCAGATACATATGCGCCACACAATAATAATGAGAATGGGAAGAAATAAAAAATGTAAGGTGTGTAAAAAGAAAAAAAGGACATTACCGACCACAAATTAGTGCATGGTAATGAAATAGTAATAAAAATGGAGGAAATAGAAATGTACAACCAGAAAAAATTCATTCAGTTGAAGAAGTCAAGTTCATTTCTTTATGAAGAAAGTAAAAGAAAGTGACAGCAATGTCGCCACTGGCTTCTATTCTTACCCATATATGATAAAGTCTCTAGCCACTGTTACATCATCGATAGGACCTCAACCAGAGAGTTGTGAAGGACAAACAGAAGGCAGTCCCGTACAGCTTTCTTTCATACCACAACACCATGTCATACACTGACCACCTCTCCGATTTTTCCAACCAGTCCCAAAGTAAACAAATAATGCACGACGAGGAATTCTCCAGAATTTCATTCGTGGAACATGTCCAAGTCATCGAAGTCGGTGTTCCAAGATAGTGACACCAATTGAATTATCGTCTCTGCACCCGAACACAGGATGGCGAACTCCTGCATTACTGACATGGTATTGCCACTGGGTGTTAGCAATCCTTCGGAGAAAACGATGATCAAACACAGAGTTGTCTAACATTCTCAATCCGGAGAGGCCAGGTTTCACAAGCATAGAGCGAAACTGCTCTCTGGGTGTGGTATCCCCTAAGAAGGTCACCTGCTTCGGTTTGGGAACCCGAGTAGTATCACAGCCCTCACACAAATTTGATGAGATGACAAATATTTCACAAAATACTGTACTCGTTCCGATCAGAACTCAGACATTTCGCTTTCACTTGAATTAGTAACGTTAAATAAAAATGTACGTAGTAATTAAAAGCGAAGCCTCTCAATATGTCTGGAATTTGAATAACAATCTTTAGCTAAAAACTACTTAGTGGTAAAACAATCGGAAGGAAGTATAAGAGAAAATTTAATTAACAAATTTGTTGAAGTATACACATAAATAGGGGCCTAACTTGTAGTGGAATCATGTTCTGGAAGGAGAAAGGGGATAAATTACTAAACGATAAGAATGAATGACACTGACTCAACACCCCGTCAGTCAGTAACAACGTAGAACTTCGAATCGCCACACCATATTAGCACTTAGGTGCAGTTGTCGATTCAAATCCCGTGGTGGTAGAAGTATTGAGAGTATAAGCAGTAATCCGAAAGATTGAGGTTTGAAGATATTATTCAAGGAGTATAATCCAGTGAAATAAATTTGGAAAGAGAAAACAGAAAGGGACTTGAAGAATTCAGAAGATTAGAATTTGGGAGAACACAGAGAGTGGATACACCTGCTCCTTAGCAAACGATTCTGAGCCATGTATGTCATTCAGGGTCTTTAACCGTCACCACCGCGTAGATATATCTGGTGGGAATTCTTAATGCTGTGACACTGATTTTGCTTTTCACTATGTCACACCAATTGTCGCTTGTGATTACCACCTGACATACCCTTGGTAGTGACAAGTAATGCCTTGTAGTGACTCACATTCATCACGAGAACACGACTGGTTTAATAAAATCAATTATTATTATGACCAAGTGTACCAGTGACTGTTTTAATGTGCTTTTGTTTGACTGTGCTAATGACAGCTATTTTGTGCTTCCATTTTTATACTTACACTTCGATTGTAACTTCGCGCGAATTCGGATACCTTCTGTAACCAAGGTTGTATCCTGGCACGATCTCGGTATCCTTTCGATGCCACGAGATCGCCAGCTAATAAACCTCGACTTGGTCCATTAACTGTCTTCTGATATTTGGCTTCTCGGGGATTTTATGGAGTCATTTGGAACGAGCTTCTTACGCCTTCTGATCTGCTTGGCACGTGTTTCTTGGTAGCGGTGTTCATAGTTAGTCTCAACTCGAAGCCACGCTACAGCCTCAAAATAGTGTTTCTATCGGGGTTGGCAAGACTACAATAGTCATATAAGTAACAGCATTATACCTAAATTTATGAATTACAATTGTCCTAACTAACCTAGGATAAATTATGTATTCTAACTTGTGAATAACTGCTTTCAAAAATGCGACTATGACCACAGTTCAAATTTCTTTACCGGAAATCTAAGTAACAGAGATTCATGTGATCGTTTGACAAACGTATGACAGTATTTTATTAGCTCTTCTGAATATATTGTCTTTTCTCATGTGTAAAAGCACCAGTGTAACGACAACACTTATGAACCATATGGGAAATTGCAAAAACAATTGAGGAATATAAGAAGTGAAATACACCACTGAAAATTAGGTTAATAGTTTTAGGGTAACTTAAATAACTACGAATTCTTACACACACGAAAACTTTCGAATTCCATGAGGATAGTATCTTACATTTTCTGCAGTTTGCAAACAAAACTGGAAAGTATTGACAAAACTGACAATACCATACACCTACAATATAATATTCAATAGAAGCAGCTAGAAATAACATAATCAACTATATGGTGCACAACAACAGCCTTTTGAATCCGTTTTTTATCTCTAAAGCTATCAGAAGAAATGTTTCAGTAATAGACATTCCATATACTTAAGATACAACACCATCCCTCTTAATTCCTGATCTCATGAGATCGTTTGTAATGCTACTGCAGTAACATTCCTAGTGTTCTCAATTGAGAACTTTAGTCCTTGTTCTGGACAAAAGTACTGGATACATTACCGGGGAACTGAGTATATGTAACAAGAAAGTAAAATACTGCTATCATTAGGTAGTAGCAAATGGAGTCTCAGATATGTATTGAACAATATTACCCACCACAATCAAGATTGGAGACGAACAGTATCAAGTAAATATGCTAAATAATAGACATCAATGTACGTAGATGAATAAGTTTTCCTTTGAAAAGATAAGTTATAATTTCAAACCCACATTACCGAGAAAAGGGACTACATCGATACAAGACACACGTTCAATCTATAAGTCAAAGCCAACGATGTAGCACCGTCTACTGACGAAGGTTACTAAGGTTTTGAAGGTCAATCTGTTGTACAACGATTTGTGCGTCACCTCGACAAATCGCAAGGTTTTGTAGAAGCGGTCAATTCAAGACAACTTTGAATTTGATTTGAATTTAGGTACACTGTCTGGTAACATCCATCCATCAAGTGATGAAAGTGATGCCATGTGGAAGGCCTGCATGCTTTTTTCCAGTGGATGATGGAATTCAGTGTGACAACTGCGATAAGTGGTATCACAATGTGTGCACCACACTCACACCGGTTGCATATAAAAATTTCTGCAAGCCGCTGTCACGTTGGCTATGCAAAGAACGCCGTTCTACAAAGTCCCTGCTGATTCTTGAGGTGATTGAGCTACTGAACATCGCTAGAAAATTGCCCTCAGATAAACAAACAGCAGTAGATGAATCGGATTCAGTTTTCAAGGAAATAGCGAGCGTAATCATTAACCCAGCTTTGGATTTGAGTAAGACCATCAAAGTGAACCCCATTAGAGGAACGGTTAGAATACATACAGATGTAGGCATTGTCAATGGAAAAAATAAAAAGCATGGTGAGAAGAAACTACCTATTGACAGTGCCAACGTATGTGTATCTACGGTTTCAGTTCCGGATTCACATATCAACTCAGAATAGATTATGGGGGAGCAAAGCCTAGGCGGTATGGATGACATAATTAAGAGATATAATAAGGCAGGTGATTAGCTCACAGTCACATCCAGGAAAAGAAAAGTACGGAAACGGAGTGGGACCTCTGTGCTTGACGCCAAATCGGTCTTCAGGAATTAAAACCCTACAGCGTGTTAAGACGGGCCTCGCTGACATATCAGTCGCTTTTCATGCGTTAAGAGAACCTTCCGAAAGGGAGCCAAAGCTAGATTTGAGCACGACCTCCTGAGAAAAATTGCGCAATATATTGCAGTCCGACTTTCTATGATATTCAATATGTCACTTGACCAAAGTGTGTTACCTACAGACTGGAAGGATGCGATCGCCACTCCCATACATAAAACGGGATCATGACGACCTTCATCGAACTACAGACCTGTCAGTCTCACCAGTGTCGTAGTTGAAATACTGGAAAGAATAGTCAAAAAGACAATAATGACGTTTGCGAAAACCAACAACCTGTTAAACAACGAACAATATGGTTTCAGAAAAGGTTCATCCTGCACAACAAACCTCCCAATATCAAGAAAGCAATGGATAAAGGCTCCAGACAACGGAAAATCAGTGGATGTTGTCTACATAGACTTAAGCAAAGCATTTGATAAGGTACTATTAAAGCTGGAAAATCTTGTCATTGCCAGAGCTCTACTAAAATGGCTTAAGGATTTCGTGATAGGTCATAGACAGAAAGTAAGAATAAATTCAAATTACGCCTCCTGGAAACCAGTACTTAGTGTGGTACCGCAAGATTCTGTCTTAAGTCCTTCACTTTTATACTGTATGTGCATGATCCCTCAAGTATAGTGGATTCCCAAATGTTGATATACGCTGACGATGTGAAAATCTGGTGAGAAATACCAGGATACACAGATGCATGCGCACTTCGGGCAGAGTTGCATATTTTGATTAGCTGGTCTAAAACGCGACTGATGCCTATCAACGAGGCATGGTGCGTCTACATGCACTTCGGGGATATGAAAGTTAGTAGTCACAGCATAGCGGAATTGCTGTATCTGTGGTCTGGTCTTACAACAATTTTAGGGTGATGGTGAGTCAGGATCTTAAGACCACAGTCCATTGCCGGGAGGTTGCAGCTAATGGGGTTGGGAAGCCTACGGGCTTTAATACGGACATTTTTCGTGTCGGTAGGCAACCCTCGTTCTTTTGATAGAAGAATGCAGACTAGTAGTGAAAAGTTCTTCATTTAGATCTTTGTGCAGTCACAGTGGAGAGTGGGACTACCTATTCAAACGCACAAATGTTTTCAACATTCAACACAAGATAATAGGAAAAATAATGTCTATACAAATTAGGAAAGTGAATGAATACTTGGGCTCTATTGTTTTGACATATACTTGATCGTTCGAGGTCGATTCTTAACTAATAAACCTAAGCTGTTACACATTCCCCAAGTTAAATATTACCATACTCACTACGGTATACTCAACCTTAGTGAGAACTGAACTTGAGAACTGCGTTCAGGCTGCAAGCCCCTGTTTAAAAGGTGACTTGGATATCCTGGAAAAACTGCAGAGGGCAGCTACCCATGCAATTCCAGAACTCCGGAGTTTACCATACCAAGAGCGACTTGAAAGGCTAGAGCTCTTCACTCTGTCCTATTCCAAGTTAAGAGGTGATTTTATCTTGATGTATAGAATGTAGAACTATGGTCTACTATAATATTAGTGCTGCTCTAATAATAGACCTAATCCTAAATTTGTCATGATATAACTGCCTAATCTATAAGATCTTATGTGGAAGTCACATCATCATCTACACCAACTCACTGTATCGTAACAACTACCAATATATGATGAAGAACAAGCTAAGGCTAGAGAAAGGATAATATATTTAATATGAATAAAAGATATAAGGTAATATTCAGCAGGGACCACGCCTGCATGGCCGAGCCATGCCATTCAATCAACTCCAATTCATTCAACTCATTGTTCGCGCCTTCTCTATCGTTAGGCATTTCTTCGCGTTAAATATTGAATACCTATTTTCCGAGCAATCTCGTATTCAGCTTTGAAGATCGTGTGGTTATTGTCCAATGCCACTACAAGAATACTAAGAAATAATTTTGGACCTAATATACCCTCTCTTTTCCTTCCCACTAGATCGGGACATCCCAGAGGACATAGCAGACGAGTAGCAGGGCCTAGAACGAATGAAATACTCGTGGCATACAGGTGTATATATTGAGTCATCAGATCTTGGAACCTGTTGTATGAAGCATTGGTGCCTGCATGCAGACACCACTTGAGAAGACTAGGCACTCACAGAAGCATACTAAAAAAGGAATAACATAGGCCATAGACCGTTTATCCTTACTACACGAATCTGAATCTGAACTGTCGCATCTGTAAAACTGTACTAGCTGTCGAAGTGACGCACCAATCTTTTTATGACGGTTTGACCTTCAAGTGCTCAGTAACCTCCAAAATGGACAATGCCACTCGTTTGCTTCTGTGGTTTTACATCGCTCATAATTGAGAGGAGATATATCTGACGTAAGCATACTAGAACGAATGCAGCGACCGTAAATAGTAATAGGAGCGAAAAATCGAGAAAACACAAATAACGTGAAAAAGTTGTGCTAACACATAAAGCGTCGCACAAGTTACGGAATCTCGAGATTCCATAAGAATGCCGATCAGCACACTTAAGGATTCAGTACTTCAGCAACACAAAAATGCTAGCAAAAAACAGAATAAAACAAGTCATGCATCAATGCCTACAAAGATTGTAGAAATGATAGTTCCCGCTTAATTCTGACTGATCGACAAGCTTGCCAAAATTACGAACCGGAGTTGAGGTTATTTCCATTCTGTATTTTTTTGTTGTTGATGATTTTCGCCGATTGCGTTTATTTTTGAATGCAACTGAATAACGTAAACCTAATGGGTTGTTTACTCAGTTCGCTTATGTTTACCTCTCCCAGACTCACCTTGCTTCTTACTCTTCCCAAAATATAACTTATTTATAGGTTCGATACAAACCTAAAGAAGGCTAACCGTTACGTTTCCGAATGGTTTATAATGAATATACTCTGTAAATAATTTTTCTGACATGGATTAACTTTTAGTTTCATAACGCCAGATCACTACTTCATAAACGCATTAGGGTCGAAAGCCTTCATTATAATTGACAGAGTGTCACAAGAACTTAAAGTTGAATGTTAGTTTCTTCATATTAAGACATATTTTCGTAGTTGAAGAACCGGCCATCCCAAGCGTAGCGAAAAAGCATACAATCTATGGAATATGGGGGGTTGTACGTCTAGTTTCGGGTAGGTTTCAAGTGTTTGTTTCATATCCGTTCAAACTAGGGTTTTATTTGATAGTAATTAAAGAACGTGAGCGAGTCGGTGAGATATTCGGGAACACTATTCTAAAAATAACCAAGAGCGTCATATTACCATTTGCAAGGTCTGTACTTCATTTGACAGATATTCAGGTAAGCGAACTTAGATTTATGTGAATTGGTAGAATCAAGATGAATCTTTATATTGCCAAATGCTTAACTGTGAAATTAGTACGGTTTTTGACAGTGTTTCACACAAACTTCCTCTAACACTTTCTTCATTTGGTATGCGGAATCCCCTTTTATCTTGGCTCAAATCTATTTCAGAAGAACATAGCCAAATCGTCCGTTTTCGATCTTGCTACTCTAAACCTGTGAATGTGACCAGTGGAGTTATACAGGGAAATGTGGTTGGTCCATTACTCTTTCTTTTTTTATCATTGACGTGTGTTCCCTCTTTCAGTATGGTAAACTGTTATGGATGCTGAGAAATAATGTGCCAATCATTATCATGTTAGGCCTAGTGATGTCCTTGGACGTTAAATGGACTTTTCCTATTGGCCATTATTTACTTCATCCGTTAAATATTGTACAAATGTTGTTTTCTATTTTTATGGTACGATGTGATATGTTTGGTTAGTATATAAATAGAGTATGTCTGAAATACAATGATTCATATCTCAGAGGTTGTGACTTGTGTTCTGGACTAAACTGATTGGGCTAGACAGGGAAGCGAGACCAGTCGAGACTAGGCCGTCCGTACGTGTTTACGTGTCACTGGAATCGATCGATAAATACGCTGCTCTCTAATTTTTCTAGTCAAGGACACAACAATTAGCACAGGGTAAAAATCAACCCAACTTAAAGTCATAACATAAACCTTTCCTTTTTGCTGATGACCTAAAAGTGGTTTATTCATTCTCTTCTCCCACCAAAGGAAACTATATTTCAGAGGTAATGCATGATGTAATAAAGAAAATGGACAAATGAAAAGTTTCGTGGAATTCGCCACTTAATGTTGATAAAAGTGGATCTATTCACATTGGTCGCTGCCTTAACATAAATCTGGCTATACACAAACACACACTGAAACCTTTCAACACTGTTCGTGACTTGGGCTTAAGATATAGCAACAGTTTGAACTTTTCTGAGCACATTGTATCTCAAGTATCCGAAGCTACAAAGCTCATCGGATTCATAATGATAAACTTCAATAATATCCAACCGAGATTATTATTATTATTATTATTATTATTATTGTCATACAGAAAATGTATCTTACCCATTCTTGAATATAGTATTTTAGTTTACAGTAATTGCAGGCATAATGACCTGATTAAAATTGGAGATGTTCAAGGAAGGTTCACCAAATCCGTGTTAGAGTATTGCGACAACAAGGACTATCACCAAAGATGTCAACAACTCAAATAAGAACCTCCGTGGATCAGGCGTATCAAATTAAACCTTATATTTATCTACCGGCTTATTAACGATATTTCCTACTCCTCGGTATCCACCCCTTCATACTCTATGATATCATCCCACAATCAAC